TATATCTGTGACATTACATAAAGTATCAACTTTTTCCTGTATTGTATATATTTTTAAATTTTTTGGAGAAATTTTTAAAGCCAAGAATAAAAACCATTTTCTCTATTTCTTTTTATTTTCCCTACTGTATAATATTTGTTTTAGGGTTTTATAATTTACAGTTTATGTTTATTCTTTTTGGAAGTAACTCTGTAATCCCAGTTTCCCAGATATTTTAATGAATATTTCCTTTTCCTGCCAAATTCCACTGCTACCCTCCTTCATGGCACCTCTGCCTTTTGTCCGCTTTTGGTCCCATGTACATAATGGATGCCCTTTACTCTTACTGCCTTATCACTATAACTTGCTCACTATCTGTAAGATAGATTTCATACAGATTCCAGATGTTTAATAATTGTTTGAGTGTATGCTTCTTTAATTACAGTTGCATAACAAAGCATAGTTATTTAGTCAGGAGAGCCAGTGTATGTAAAATTTTAACTAAGGTCAACCATGCCTCTATATACCTCTTTCAAGACAAGGTTTCTCTATAGCTTTGGTGCCTGTCCTTGAGCTAGCTCTTGTAGACCAGGCTGGCCTCGAACTAACAGAGATCCACCTGCCTCTCCCTCCTGAGTGCTATTATTAAAGGCATGCACCACCACTGCCTAGCTATTTTAAAGTATTTGTAAGCCTTCTATCTCATAGATAGAATATACTGATGTAATGGGACTAAATATAATATTAAACATTTTCACTTTGTCTTGTAACTTATACAATAAATTCATTATTTTCTGTCTGGGTACATTATAGCCAACAAAAATTGATAGACATTCTTCTGCAAATTTTTGTGACACAACGTAAACATCTCTTGCAATTATACTTATTGACCTAAAATGTTCATAAACCGTCCAGGTTCAGCATTATCCAATAGAACTTCCCTATGGTCCTATGGTGGTGGTATTTTCTAGAACTGTATCATCTAGAGCCATATGTACCACCGATGTGAGGATTTGGATCATTTGCATTATGACTTGTGTGCCTTGGAAATGGAATTTGAAGTGTTATTCTGTTTTGATGAATCTACACCGCCAGTTTTGATTAGCACTCACCACATGGAGTACATAATTCCATTCACTCTGCTCCATCTACTGATTTATTTCAGCCACATCTCTTTCCCTGCATCATATTACTTCCTGCACATCTTATCAGGCATTTAACTGTTCAATATTTATGTACCGAGTGTTTTCTCCATTGGATAAGAAATTTTATATTAATTTTATATTTTCAGTTTGAGGTTAGAGTTAGACAGCCGAGTAATATTAAAAGTATTTTGTTACTCAGATAAAAACTTTTTTTACAAGACTGCTATAGATTACACATTTTAATTGTGACCACTTTACAGATGCACAACCTGACACAGTCACAAGTTAATTAGATTCTGCCTAACGAATATCTAGTTATTGATGGAGCTGGGATGTATGTAAACCTGAGGCAAGCAGGCTTCACAGACGGGGCTCGCATTCTATCTCATTGCAATATTTACTCTCTCATATTTCTGGAGAGTGAGTTTTTATCAGTGCTTCTCTTTATTCAAAATTCATCACAGATGGGCCTTCTCAAGAACATTATTTGTGTATTCATAGTGCAAGAAAATATATTACTTCTGGCAAGAAGGAAGGAAAAAAGGAGCTGTAATGATCAGATTTAACTCAGGTTAATCATCATCTCTGTGTTAAAATTACTTAGAGGCATATTGTCCATAATTAAGTCATCTTATCCCCTAATATTACAGAATAAGGGAATACCTTTTAGTGGCATGGCATCTATCATTTTAAGCATGCCCCCAAGCCTTTTTTTCAGATTGCTCATAAAATTTCTCATTCTCTAGAGAAATGTGATCTCTAAGAAATAAATGTCTCTGTCAAGTCACAAGTAATATGAGCACATGATGAAAAAATGGAATTGTGAGTCTCATATGGGATATTGCAGTATTGTAAAATTGATTTTATTCCCTGGTATTTAAGTTCTCATGGTCATTTTAGGATTTACCTTCTGGATATAAAGGGAAGGTTATGATACCTTTCAGGGAGGTGGCAAATACAGGCCTTTGGTGAGGAAAGAGGAGGATTTTTTTTTCATATGAAATTCTTTATCATAAAAATGCTAATGTTGGTGTTCTTGTCTTTATGTCTATGCATTCTTTAGCTATGAGGATAACAGACCCTTCATCAAGTAAGAATGACCTGAATGGCTGATAAATTGCATTTATCAGTGTGGTCCCATGACCCAGCTGTCAGATCAGTACCGAGAATCGCTAGAGCTTCTGTCATTCACATTGAGGCAGAAGAGCAAACTGTGCAGGAAACGCTGGCATGCAACTTTTGCATAGAGTGCTACAGGTGTATTGCCATACAAAAAAAAGAATTCCCCTTCGCCTCAGTTAATGGGATATCACTTGAATTCGGTGCCTCAGTAACAGCACTTTCCTGTGGTACAGACTTGTCCCTCATGGAGAGCTCCTCAAATTGTGATGTGCCCGTCCACAGTCGTGGGGTCAAATTTCTGTTGTGTGTTCAGGTGTCATTCATTTTAAATTATTTTGTGACTCAGTAGCGTATCTTTAAAATGATTTTATGGATCAGGATCTACCTGCTTGTAATTAGTATTAACAATTTCCTATATTAACTGTATCTATAAAAGGGGGAAAGACTTTTTGAAATTTAAATTTTACCTATGCCATCTCTTCCTTTTGAAATTTGGCACCTGTGTCATGATGAATCATCTAATTGCTGATGAATACATTGAAATTTCTGAAACAAATTTACAAGTCTGTACCAGTCTAACAAATGGAGAGATAATGAAAACATTTGGTCATTTGCCTATAATTTTAAAACTTGCCTGTCCTGCAAGAATCAACTACAATTGGCCTCCTGTGGGCTACCTTGCTGTAGACGTTCAGTTTGTTCTTCTGGTGAAGAGTCCTTTGTCTCCATTCCCTGATGCCATCACATTTTCTTCTTCATGCTTTTGCTTATTTCCTTCTTTGGAAATGAGACCTCACTGCGGTTCTAGACCATTTGACCCTTGGCTCTACTGTGTGTTTTCTACTGGATAATGGCTGACGTCAATATTTTGTGCCATCATTTGGTTGCTAAGTCTATGAATTTTTTTCTCTTTATTTAATGATGATTCTTTCCATTTTTTTCCCTCTGCTATCTGTTAGAACCTGAGAGCTATTGTTTGAATGTTTCCATATTTTAGACTTCAGTTGTGAAATAAATATTAACATTGAAGGCGTTTTCTAATTCATATAAGCAAATGTGCCAAATGCAAGAACATACCTCCTTCATTCAAAGTCTTGGTGTTTTATAACAAACCTGATATGGTTAGTGGATATTTAAATATGAAATATAATGCCTGATTATGTGGAAAAAATAACAACATTATTCATTTTAATAAGCCTCTGGGACAATACCTTCAAATCTTTTCAAAAAATAAAATAATTGAATTCATATTATGGTGAATTATGTAGTTTTCTCTCCCTCTTCTCTTTGTAAAGAATCAATTACCCAAAATATTTTCTCCTTGGATATCAAAAATGAAAGATAACAGGATGCTGAAAAAAATTGTTAACTTGCTGTGTCCAAAGAAGTAATGCTGAGATAGTAAGGGATGGGCCTGTGAGTATGGAGGAATCTTAGATGCTCTGGGTCCTGTTTTCCCTCTACTTCCAAGTGGCAAAGGATTCCATATTCAGTTATTAGAGCCCCATCTATTACAACAGTTCTTTTTATTCCCAGTAAGTGTGCAGGATGACCATAAATACATGAACCCCTGTCATCCCCTTATTACCATGACCCATGGCAGCTTGGAGGAAACTAAACACATGGAGTAAAAGGGACAGCTTTCCTTCAGTGCTTTATTACTCCTTTCATACCACTCCATCCCCATTCTCAACTTCATCCTCTTCCCTGAGTTTGTAGGCGCTTCTAAGACTTGAAGACACCCTAGGCCTGCCAAGAGGTTAAAGGCCTGATTTTGAAAAGCCTAGTTCAGCATAATCAACCAGATAGTACACAAAAGCTAAAAAGTGCTTACCACTAGAGTGGAACTTTCTCTTTTAACCCTACTGTTTCCTGCACACCTCTACTGCTTTATAGAGTTAGAAAAACAAGCCTCTTTCGCTCTAAACATGTGCCTCAAATACTGGTTTCTTCTAGTCAAAGTTAGTTTTTTTTTCCAACAAATATAATAATTTTTAGTCAGGAAAAAAAAGGAAATTTGGAAATATGCTATCCAAAAGTATTAGAAGAAACACTGAGTGCCGAGTGATTCAAATATACCAAGGAGTCTGATGAAAACTAATGTAACTTTGAAGACTTTTCCTCCTTTCCCATTCACCATAATTACATATCCATACCATTTGCATACATATTGAAAACACATGAATAATTTATGGCACAAATCTGCTTTTGCTTAAATGAATTTCTGTGTTCATAACATTTTCATCCATGTACATCACCTCAAGCTTGATAACTTCTAGTACCATTAAGATCTTAAAGCACTTATATATACCACTTGTCTCACATTTTCTGTCATTAAAACTTACCATAACTTTTTTTTTTCAGTGTCAGTATCATTGATTGCACGTGGTTATATTAACTCGGCACTAATTATTTGTTAACCCTGCGTTTTCGCTTCTCTCCACAGGTCATGGGTTATAGGTGCAATAGCTCTCCTCTGCCTGTTAGGATTGACCTGGGCCTTTGGACTCATGTATATTAATGAAAGCACAGTCATCATGGCGTATCTCTTCACCATTTTCAATTCTCTACAGGGAATGTTTATATTCATTTTCCACTGTGTCCTACAGAAGAAGGTAAGCTACAGTTTTCCAAGCTCAAGTGACATATACTTCGTGATAGTAAAGGACGCACACCCTATTCACATACAGCATTCCTTGTTGTTTTCTTTAAATGAAACATATTACTCTACATTCTCAAAACCCAAATGAAACATATCACTTCATTTATTTTTATTTTAGTAATGACAAGATATATACATTGTAAATATATAATAGTTAGAAAGGGTGTTTAAGTTAACCAAACCACATTTTATTATTTGTATAATTTTCAAAAAAGTATTTTCTTACAGACTTGTTTGTATATCCATGGGGAGAAAAATGGAAGTTGTATTTTAGAGAGTAACTCTTCCAAGTAAATTGCAAAATAGGTGACTTTTATGATTTTATATACTGATAAGGAAATAATTCATTTAAAAAGACAAATTTAGTTATTAAGTACTTTGTTTCATATATTTGAACCATAAGATTGGGTTTCTAGTCTAATACTATTAACTCTATTAAAATTGTGTCTCTATAGTTTTTATTATATGGAACCTTAGTCAGATTGCTTGGGTTTCATTCTTAGGATCTCCATTTAAAAAGTTCTCTGATTTTTAACAAATTAATTAACCTCCTCATATCCCTGTTTTCCCATATGTGACATGGAGGTGATGAAAATAATTATGAAATAGTTAAAAAGATGGCTCTAAAAATGAAGTGGCAAATATTTTAATCTCAGAAAGTCATACTAAGACTTTAATTCTGTTTTGGAAAACAAGAAATATGAGGACTAATTTTCTCTATTTCAGATTTATTTATTCAAAACTAAAAATCAAAGTACTGTCCAAAACAGACATTTAATACTCATGTCCACTTATTAAGATGAGCAAGTAGATGAGAATAAAACAGAATTATATTGTGTTTCAATTTTAGCTGGCAGTAAATGTCTACTATGTTTTCCTATGGTTGCAAATATAGGATAGATTAATAATGATCAGCCAGATCCCTAAATCTAGATTACATATATTAGAATGGATGAATTTTATGCTGATGGAGTCATATTCACCACAAAGACAGGCTAAAATTGGATGACTGAAGTCTATCAAATGATGATATTCCCAAAATGTCAGTAGTTTAACTCACCATGTGCTTATTTTCACTCAATAACACACTAAACCCATGAAGACACAAGTTGGTTAAAGACTTGACATAGAATTTTGTAATCATCATGGTTGATGACATCAAGCAGATAATCTGGGAATGACAGAGAATTTTGTGAAAACCATCTGAATGTGGCTTATATCACTTCTAGGCCATTTCCATAAGACACGACTCCATAGACAGTACCAATTGAAGTTCTAGGAGTAGTGAGAACAACAGTTTAACCTTTAGCTTGTGTACCTAGAAGTAGAACAACTGAGTATGGCCACCAGATAGTAATTAGCTGTTCTTAATGGGTATAAAGAAGAAGAGACAGGCAAACAGTAAAGAAAAAGATCAGGTAATTATAAAGGATTTCTTTATCTCACCATTTTGGAGTTGGAGATGCCACTACTGAGGTTTTAGACTTGTGTGGTCTTCATCCTATAGCAAGCAGAGTTGCTTTCCTCCTCCCGGAGAGCCACTATTGCCACCCCAGGATCTCATCTAATCTTAATTACCTCTCAGAGACTGTACCTCTGGTACATTAACACATTGATGAAGGCATTAAGTTTCTAACAGATAAATTTTTCAGGGACAGATTCACATTATAGTATCAACTATAGGGTACTTAATAGATATAGGTGCTAAGCCATGATTGGGTACATATCTTTAGGTTTATAGTAAATAATCATCTTTTCTTTGTATTTTTAAGAGAAAAATGGGTGGCATTTTTATTTAGTATCAAGAACATGCCTCAGTACCAGCAAATATAAAAATTTTCTTACATAGTCAAATAATTGACTTTCTCACAACAAAAACATCTTTAAAAGTTTTCTGATTAAATTTCACTAATGCAACTTTGCTCTTACAATTGCTTATATATTTTGGCTAAATATATACTATTCACTAAGGTTACTTGTTGACTGATTAAACTCTTAAATAGAAACCTTTTGAATTGAAATTTATTTTGCAGTACAGATTGTATGGTATATCAACAATTCTTCCACTGGCTAGAGTAAGATTGGTCACTGTTGCCCTTTTTATGAATTCATTTATTCATTATACTCTCAATGCTCTAGGATTATTTATTCTGACTTAAAATTCTACAAGTGAGGTTTACTTTATTTTCTGTCTTCTATATTTTACACATCACATTGAAATAAGATAGTGTTATCAGATGACATATCATGTGAAGTAGATTAGATATTCTATGAACATGGCCCAAGTTAATCTTAACATTTTAAATCATATGAGAGCAAAAGATAATTAGCATATTGAATCACATAGCAATGCAGCTTTCATGGAGGTTGACATTGCCATATATCTAGATTTGCTGATTGTTTATAAAATGAGTTCAGAATATTCAATCTTTTTTTTTTTAAAAAAATGCAAATAGTTCACAATGAACTCCTATGGCTTAGTAGCAGTATTTCTTTGATACCTGGAAGAAGATTGCTTCTCCACATTTCTTCCTTCTCTTTTTTATTCTTTCTATTACAATATTTGTTCAAAAAAAAAAAAACTTCTGGATTGAAGAAACACAATCATTGGCTCGGTGCACCAGAAAAAGAAAATAAGATTAGAGGACATTAAAGTTCTTAAAGATGATTCACAAATTTAATACAAAATTTCAAACTATACTATCACAAGTATCTTTCTTTAAGATTATCTTAAAGCTTCCCAAAACTGTAATCAAATTATTGCCATATTATTTTAAGAATAATGAATAGTAAGCAGATATTCTATTGATAATTTAATAACCATCCTAACAAAATGGTCTTCATTTGTCGCATACTGTTAAAATAGGATGCCACCTTCTCTCTTGGTTTTTTATCTTTTCTCAACCTTATCTTGAAAGCAGAGTAATTGTAAACTTTCTTTTCAGTTCCGTCTCATAGGTATCTTTGATAAGTTTTATTTGGTCCTCACCACCTATGCCCACTGGGGCACTCTTCATTGATACTTGGTTTCACTCTGTTTCTCTGTCATTGTTCTTTTTATGGGGGGAGGGATACTGGGTTCACACTAAGCAAGTTTTTGACTTCAAAGCTATGTCCTTACATTCCATTACTTGTACTAAGTAATTTATTTCATTACAAAATAACTGACAGAAGCAACTTAAGGAAGAAGCATTAATTTTGGCTCACAGTTCAAGATGACATAGCACTTCATGGAAGTGAAGGTTTGTGGGAGTATAAGATAGCTGTTCATGTCAGATCCTCAGTCAGGAAGCAGAGTCCTGGGCTTCAGCCTGTGGTACTGTTTGCCTTCTGTAGACAGAAGTTTCTGTCCTATCCAATCCCATAGCTATTTAGTCCCAAAGAAACACATAGAGACTTATATTAATTATAAACTATTTAGCCCGTTAGCTCAGGATTATTATTAGCTAGCTTTTATAACTTAAATTAACCCATAATTCTTATCTATGTTTAGCCACATGTCTTGGTACCTTTTCTCAGTAAGGCATTCTCATCTTTGCTTCCTCTGTATCTAGCTGATGACTGAGTTTCTGCCTTTCCTCTTTCCCAAATTCTCTTAGTCTGATTCCTCTGACTATACTTCCTGTCTGGCTACTGGCCAATCAGCACTTTATTAAACTGATATGAGTGACAAATCTTAACAGTGTATAAATGTATTATCCCATAGCAGCCTTCATTGTAGTTCATCCCTCCTTAGTCAAACCTCTCAGGAAAGGACCCTATAGACGCATCTCTGGTGTGTTCTCATGACTTTAAATCTGTTCACACTGACCATGAGATTAGCTATCATACCATTCCTATTAGATAATAACTATTCAAACAAAGTGAGTCCCTAAAAAAAACCAGAATATAGTTTGAATATAAATAATTTTTCTTTAAAATCATATATTTAATTTTAATTTTCAATGAAATTACACCGGAATGCTACATTGTTATAAATAGTAGAAATTATGTACTCAGTAAAATTGTTTACATAAAGGATTAACAATTATGTATAAATATCACATCATCCTGTGAACATATATGTGTACAATAAGTATGATAAGATTTCCCTTTGTTGTGTTATTTTTGACAAGTAGGAATATCATTTATTTTCATGTTTTGTTCAGTTAAATCTACAGTAATAAAAATTTGGACATGTCCAAAAATTCTTGATATATCCCCAACTTTGAAAACACAAATTATATATGTTGATCTTTATTTCCTCAGTACTTTTATAAATTAAGAATTTATTCTCCAGGGCTGTTTAAAAATAAAAGAGTAGCTATATATCTGTGTAATTATTAAAACAATTTTATGGAAGTATATTAAAATATTTCAAATGTTTTATGCTTTCTTGAAATTTTAATCTTAGAAGAAAAATGAGCACGAAATACAGATTTAAATGAGATGCTTAGCTCAGCACAGTTCCATTTTCTGTCTTTAAATATTAAATCTTTTTTCTCTTTGCTCTCTTGGCTTCTCTGCCTCACTCTTTTCAACTTTCTCACTGATTTTTTTTTATCTAAAAAACAATAGTTAAAATACCAGTGCACCAATAAGTCAAACTCTAAAATTAATAAGTCTAAAACAGTGTCTTGAACGTTTCAAATACAATGTCTTTGAATTACGAGGTAATACTACTGGGTGTTACTGATACAGCATGAGTATTTACAAAGATTACAGTAGCATGAGATTTAAGATTGTTAACATGAATTTTACTATTTCATACTACAATATGATGATAAACAGTTTTTGTTTCTGTGGAGTTAGGAAGTATGTTCCTGAAAATAAAAGCTCATATACACATTATATCATTATTTCTTAGCTGAAATGGATGAAGTACTAATAGAAGTTAACATTTCATTGGCTAGGTACGGAAAGAGTATGGGAAATGCTTGCGCACGCATTGCTGTAGTGGGAAAAGCACGGAGAGTTCGATTGGCTCAGGGAAAACATCTGGTTCTCGAACTCCAGGACGGTACTCCACAGGCTCACAGGTAAATAATACAGCTGGCTCCTTGAGGTGAAATAATCTTTCCTTTGGTCACTCTCTGATCACCCCATCACATATGTCTGTCACATCAAGAGTTTTGTTTCAGTGTGACTGTCAGGAAACAAGAGGAATAAAAATTACACAAAAATTATGGAATCTACAGAATTTGGGTGAAGCTTATAAGACTCCTCTCCAACTTGTGTGCCATCCGCAGATAGTGGCTGATGTGGAAGAGAAAGTCAGTTTACTTCAAGGATGGGGACTCTCGTATGTGGCCCATGCTCCATTAAATAGTCGAAGACCCATTTGAGTGAAGGTCAGCACTAATTAGACCCAGGGGATCACAAGGAAAACAAACAGAAAAACAACAGCAAAATGAGACTATGACGGTGGGAGGTCTAGGAGAAGTTGGAACAGGGAGTAGAAAACAGATCTAATTAAAATAAATTGTATACATGCATGGAACTCTCAAATAAAAAATTGAAATAAAGATGTTTAAATTTAGATTGTGAAATATACAGTCTAAAACCACATAATTATTAATGACATAAGAATGGTTACTGCAGACAGAAAGAGATTTGCTACTAGAACTGAAATTTACAGAAAGTTCTATTTTATACTTACGATTCACAAATGTCTTAGATATTTAAATGGATACAATAATTCTCAGTTGCATACTATAAAAAATATATAAATGATATATAGGAGTGGAAAGATTGTTCACCTGTTAAGAGCACTGGCTGCTTTTCCTGAAGGTTTGATTCCTAGCTTCCATATGTGGTGCGTGTCTTAAAGGATCTAAAACCCATTCTGGCCCCTGCAGGAAGTGAATACATGTGGTGTACAGGTGTATGTGCAGCCAAAACACCCATATACATGAAGTTAAAATGTAAAACAAAAAGTTTCACACAGCGGCATGCTCAGGGAAAAAATGCAGTTCGCACAATGTTATGTCTTTGAAAATTGAATGATCCAGTGCATTTAAGAATATCAATAAACCATCTTTGGCATAAATCGTCTATGGCATTACCCCCACCACCACCAGTCCAGTAGGAAACATTGTTAAATGATCCCAAAGAACACTATAAGCTTTTAGGTAAAGTGTTTGCCATTTACCAAGGCTGCAATGATTGTGTGGGTCATGAGAGAATTTGAATTGGAACTAGCGTCCTAATCCTCCATGGTTTAGTAGCAAATATGATAATGTTTAGATTGTTCTGGGGAAGACTTGAATTAAGGAGATAAGTACAGTTTCAGTGTTTTGTAATGCTATATGTCAGACCAGTTCTGTTGCGCATGCATGATGGGCAAGCAATGGACCTCCAATATGCAATTCCAGAAAAATCTTTATCATTGGATTTATTTACAAAGCTTAATGAATTAAGTTTACATCAGCAGTTCCTTTTGCCTTTAAAAAATCATTTGCAAATAAACACATCTGGTTATTTTAACCACATCATCTGACTACAGCTCCAAAGACCTAGCTAGCACTGGAACTCATAAATCAAAGTGGGCCATAAAACACTATCTTCTAACTTAATGGACTTTTATTTGGCAAATAAAACGTGACATCTAATATCAATCTAATATATTCCTCACTAAATTTTAACAAGACCTTATAACTTTCAAAGTGTATCAGACTATCTTAAATATCTTAATAACCACAAATCGTAAAACTTAGTCTAAACATGCTGTGTAGTCATTAGCACTTTAAATGTAACCTGCTACTTTCATAACTTTCTGGGGTTTCAGAGTCACAAATTAAGGATTGCAAGATGTGCTCACTTAGGTGAGCAGAGATTTTTGTGTTTGGAATATTCAGTCTGCAGCAGACACATGAGAAGAATAAGCAAACCAGGATGATGCTTCGAGCAATATCCCCCGTCTTGTGAATAGTTATTTCTACCAAATAACTTCTGCCCCTCCCCCTTTTGTAGTAGCAATTTGAATCACTTTGAAATTAAAATGACTGAGAATCTGCATATCGGCCAGCCTGATTGGACTCAGTCTGCACTCCACTTTACTTCGTCATTACTGATCACTCTATAGTCATTTTACTGATAATATCATTATACAATTATAATGTACAAGAATTTTACTTGAGTTACAGCAGACTGGTGTGGTAATTGCCAATACCTTTGAAGAATATGACCAGGTAATGCAGTTCAGTAAAATTTTCAGATGAGAACGCTATGCTTTCAACCCCAAGCTTACCCTTTACCAGCCGTGATTTTTTAAAAAAAGGAACTTCTTATATTGTTCTTTTCCTTTTATTATATAGTATCTCATTATGTGGCCCACAAATTGGGATTCTATTTCCTCAGCATTACAAGTCAGAAGAAAGTTTTAGTTATTTTTTAATATATTTTTTAAAATTTTTATTTGCTTATTTATTAAAAATTTCCACCTCCTCCCATCCTCCCATTTCCCTCCCCCTCCCCCTACTCCCCCTCNCCCATCTAGGTCTAGGAAGGTGAGCATCCAAACAGACTAGGCTCCCACAAAGCCAGTACATGTAGTAGAATCAAAATCCAGTGTCATTATCATTGGCTTCTCAGTCAGCCCTCGTTGTCAGCCACATTCAGCGAGTCCCAGAAGAAAGTTTGAATACGATTTACTCTGCTTTCCCATGTGCAAAACGGTAGCAGTAGTAGTTTTCTTATGCTGTCATGATAAAGCTAATGTATTGGAATAGTCGTAGGTGTTCAATAAATTGGTGGCTGCTGTGATTTACTAGTGTCCCTAGTACAGGGTAGAATGTCACATATATTTCAAGTTGTATATTTTCTTCACCTTTGCAGTTTATAACATAGCTCTATATTATTTTTGTATATTGTATAAAGCTAATTTTTGTTAGTTGTGACAATATGTCCCTACATAAGTGATAGATACATTCTGTCAGAGTACAATGAAAAAAAAAAAAAAAAACAGGGGTGGAGATAGGACTCATGAGTTAGGTGTGCTCACTGCTACTCTGAGTTTGAGTCCATGCATCAACATGGCATGCAACAGCCTCCTGTAACTCCAGTTCCCAGGGTTCCAATTTCCACTACTGGTCTCTGCAAATACTGCATACATGTGGTGCACAGACATTCATGCAAGGAAAACTCCCGTTAAATAAAAGTTAGTCTCAAAAATTCTTTTAAAAGCAAATAAATGTTTTAATACTAATTGTGACTTTTTGTAAGAAAACGTCAAAATCTTCACCATTATAAAAAAATGGGCCTAGAAATAAATATCACATCAAAGAACCTCTAAAATAATAATTTCTATGTATTTTAATTTTGAGTTTGGATTACTAAGTGCATCCTGTATAATGACATAAATCTGTTAAACTCTTGGGATAAAAATGATTTAAAGATAACTTCCCTTATAATCTAGGACGTTAATTCTCATGTTGATAGTCAAGAATTTATTAGCAGACAGACCACAATGCAATTCAAGGTGGAAAGCTGCTGGGGAGAGAAATAAGTTATGTGAAGTCCCCAGATGTCTCACAGTTCCAGTCGTGGAGAAAGGTCTCTTTTGAGGTGGTTATTTATGTCAACGTCTAAACAGTATTCTTTGTCAGAGAAGGGATTTTAGGAAAGCATAGTTCATGTTGGGAGAAAACTTGAGGCCAAGGAAACTGGCAAATTCAGGAATAGAAAGAATATCATTAGGTATTCTCGGAAAGATTGGGGAAACCTGACATTCTGAGGAACCATGAAAGAGAAAGCCATAGGAGAGCACAGGTGATGCACCCCAATGTGCTGGTGAGTGTATGCAAATTTAGATTTTATTTTGATTATTTTGAAAAGCTGAAGGGATGAAGAGATAAGATATTATCCATATGTAATAAATATTATATAGTAATTGTAGTTTTGGAGAGGTGTGGCTGTCAAAACCAAGAGTCAGAGGCCTCCTCACCTCCAGGTATCATTTTCTTACTTCCTGCTGACTATAACTTACAAAAGATTAATAATATGGGAATTTGGTAAAACATCAATTTATAGGACTATATATGCAGGGAGATTTTATACTATGGAACAAGAGAATGTTCTACTCACTTTGATCAACCTGTGATACCTTTGTTATTTATCTTTCCTGGTTTATTATATTGTATTTGGATGTATTCACTTGTTAAGATATAACTTTTTAAAAAGAAAAGGGTGTGCATAATAAATATGAAGCTGTGAGGCATATTAAATGAATGAACCCCCTTTGATCCAACATTTAGAATGGGAAACAAAGTGTCCCCAGTGTGTTTCTCCCCGGAGTGACATCTCCCTAAACCATCTTTATGTCGCTCACCAAATCTGAATTTATTTCATTGACTTATTATCATTGTCTCTCCTTCTTCTACATTATGTCCTTTGTTATCCCTGTAAGTAAAGTGATATCTTATTGTATGAGTATTGTGCAATTGTTTTTTTTTTCACCTCCATATTCTAAGACATGCCCTGATGTCGTCGAAGATGCTGAGTTTTGCTGTATATGCATGTGTCTGCACTCCGTTATTCTCTCAGATTAGTGTTATATACCAATATGGCTGAATACTTCTCACGGAATTTTAAGACCTACACAATTGTCAGATATCCTAAGACTAATCACTGCTACTATTCAAACTAGCAGGAACATGGCTAGCTTGTGAGTTTGAGGACACTATTAGTAGCACCAACATTTCTTATTAAGCCGTTTCTATCTAGAAAAGCCTCTGGAAGTACGTTGTTTCCTCCTCAGAAGATCAATATGTTTTGATCACTAATTTAATAAAATAGCAAAACACGGTAAAAGAGAAAACTTCTTCCCCAGACTAAAACTTCCTTTGTGAGTGATCTGACTCTTAGATATTTGAATTTAGAAATAAAAATCATAATGGAAGACTTTTCAGGTATCTCTAAAAGCTTCCTACCGTGAAGTGATGAATACAGCTGAGATACCCACTTTAACTCCTCAAAAGAAAAGCCAGGAGGTATGTAATCTCTGAAGTGTCATTGGTTTCCTTGAAAAACCCTCTGGAAAATGTACTTTTAGTAGCATTTCAATAGTATTCTGTGTTCTTTTGTTACCACACTCTTATGAGAGTCTGAATTTTTTAATTTGCTTTACATTTGAAACTGAAGTTTTCTAAAGTACACATCTGTGTGTGTTTAATGTTGTTACGCTGGTAGAGTACTTTGCCTTTTTCATTGTCCAAGTTTTAATTGTTATGGCTTGGGCATCAATAAAAATGGCTAATAACAAGAAAATAGCACCACCAATTTCATTCCTGATGTTCTCATGCCACTGCTTTGCAAGTGTAGAGAAATGTTTCTTTGCTGGATGCTAGGGCCAGAGACCTTATATGGCTTTCAAAGAAACTTTAGAACGTGTGCGGAAAGTCACTTTCTCACGAGTCTGCCTCCTTCTTCCTTCTCAATACAGAGCCGAATTCGGAGAATGTGGAATGATACTGTCCGAAAGCAGTCGGAGTCATCCTTCATCACTGGAGACATAAACAGCTCCGCGTCACTCAACAGAGGTAGTTAGGAATGATGTTTCATAGTTCTTGCTTTTCTGAAGAATGTAGGAACGTCTTAAATGCATTGCTACATATATATGTTCTTTTTACTGGAAATATTGTTAAGGGTTTGAGCATTGGTGAGTGCAGCATTCTATTCCATTATTCGTAGATTATTTTTAGTACTGAATTCTCAGGAAATCTTTTATGAGAGAAATTATAGAACGAGAAACTTCTTTTCCTAATCATCTGCCACTCTTATAAACTGGTGGGTCGTTAGGCCTCACAGGAAGCAGTCAAGATGGGCAATTATATGGTTATATAGTCTGCTAAGCATCATAGAGTTCCAATTGTCCCAGGTATAAGGTGATTTCATCATCTTTGTGGAAGTAAAATATACTGTCTAATACATAGTTGAGGCAAAATAAGATAAAATTAATGTAACCTCAGTATCAAGACATATATCCAGATAACCTTGGATGTTTAAAGGTCTAGAGTGAAAAAGACGCTTATATTGTTTTATGAATGGGGATGGGGTGTTCATATAATACTCGTGGATGAGATGCTCCAAAATCACCACTTAGGCTTCAAGTTAACATAATTTGCCATTTTGTTTGTGAAAAATCAATCTATATGTATCTCTCTCTGTTTCTCTGTCTCTCTCTTGTGTTTATATGTGCACGTGAGTGTGCATGTCAGTGTGTATGTGTGTGTGTGTGAGAGAGAGACAGAGAGAGGGAGGAGAGACAGAGAAGAGGGAAATGAGAAATAACTGGCCTGCCATAGAAATGAGTGAATACAGTTTGAAGTGAGTGTCGGAAAGCACTTACATCACAGTTTTATCCCTGAAGCTCTCAGTTTTATGAAATAAATTACTTTTGTTACTACCATTGTTCTTGTCTTAATGTCAAACAAGTTGATCAGTCTCTTCTCAGCCAGTTTTGCAATGCTACTTAGAAGCAGATTATGCAGCTATTTTACTTTATCATTATGAACTCTGATGTTGCTCCAGATAGCCTCCTATAAATGGTTTCGTACTCATATAGTTACGAATAATGTGGTAGGACAAATGGTATGCGAGTTGAGCTTGATGCCAATATGCATGGTTTACACTAACCTTGTTAAGGTTTGGATGTGTTTGAGTCATTGAAACAGCAACTGTAATCAGTGATGACTTCAAATCACCTGTATTACATTATGATAAGGAAAAAGAGTGGGAACATTCATCCAAACCCAAGAAAAGGTTTTAAAATGGAACAGCTCTATTCTTACTTTGTTCATTCTCAACTTTTTATTTGCTAGCTTATGCCCACTTAGAAAGTCCCTCCCATGTTTTCTTCATGAGAATGTGTGGAAATCTCAGTATTTCCTCACTTTCTTTCATAAGTCATCACTCATGCCTCATGACCTTGACGTTAATTTGCTGCCTGTATGACCAATGTTCTTTGTTGTTGAATGATGCCATTTGTAGAGGTTTTGATCCTATAAAGAAAACTAGCTTTTCCAGTAAGATCCTGACAAAGTATCTAGAGTCCAGAGATCACCGCAGCCATGAGAGAATTTTTGTTTAGAAAAGCTGAGACAATAGGATTTTAACGATATGTAGTCTTTTGGCCTATTGTGAGGACAGACACACTATGATAATTATTTTTTTTTAGCTAGTGATGTGATCAGATTTAGTGTAAAGACACTATACTATGTAAGTTTAGTAATAAATGCTTACTGAGCTATTTTGTGACATTAAAATCAAACACATAGTCAAACCCATTACATAGTATCAATTTTTATTTCTTTCTCACCAGTTCCCTCAAATTTCAGCAATTTTGAATGCAGTGATCTAAGCATGACTGGGCCAATTCAAAATAAATTAAAAATAAATATATTTTGTATTGGCTGATTTTATATGTTAGTCTATTCATTAACATTCTTATTCTGAAGATATTTAATGAAGCTGTTAATTGCAGAGTCTAAAATTTTTATAACATGAATAAGTTACTTTGGTAATGAGCTAGGGGAAAGAATGAACATGAGTTTTCAATTTGGCATGTGTTTGGGTTGTGATCTTTTTCAAGGTATATAGTCTTCCTTTAAATCACAATATTAGTGGTGCTGGAAGTGACAGGGCTTTTCTTCATTTCCTGTATTAATTTTCCTGTGCCACCCCCCAAAAATATCCCAACTGAGGAATTCTTCAGTTTATTTTCATCTACTTTTTCCTTTGAATTTCCATGCATGTAAACAATGAATCTCAATCAGATCCCTCATTCCCCTCTCACCTCTCTCCAGGATCACCTGTCACATCTTCCCTTAAGTTTATATCTGTCAATTATTTATTTATTTTTATTATTTTAATTTACAGACTCCAGTTAATACTGATCATATGCTCATGGGTATGGGATTATCCTTAGGGGCATGAAACGACCTTCAAGAGGTCACACTGTTAAAGAGAAGTGGCTCTCCCTCGCCCCCATATTCATCAACTACCAAGTAGCATCTGCACTAGAAACAGAGCCGCGGATGACCTTCACCAGTTCATCCATTGTTTTTTTTAATCCCCAAATTATTAGAATAATTTGAAATTTTATTTCTTCTTTTTCTATATCTAAAGATAGTCTTTAACCTCCTTCTTTAATCTTGTCTTATTCCCCAGGATCATATCTTCCCTGCATTCAGGCGTGTGTAACATATTTAGGTATGTGACATCCAAGATTCATATTTCCAGATAAACACGTCAGTCACCTCAGCAATATAGTAAATCACATCTGTGTACTCTGCAGATTCTATCCTCTACCATTAAAATAAGCATCATAGATACTACATCTTTGCATCTTCATATATTCTAACCTCCCACTCATTCTTAGATCCAGCTGTAAAATTTAAAAATTCTAAATCCATATCTTACTTAGATTTGCACATTTATTTATTTTTGCTTTAAGAGTACTGAACTTTGGAAACTACAAGCTATGTTTTTTTTTTTTAATTTTACCTTAGGTTTTCTTTCAAATCATATTACTGCACATTATGTCAGAGGAGTGTCATTTTATAAATTTACATGTCTTATCCTATATTCTTTTAAACAATAACAGTAATTTAGGATCTGTTAAGAATGAGGAGTCTGTCATACAGAGCAGAGACATTTTTATTGTTTTTGGTTGGTGTTTGGGTTTTGTTAATTTCTTTGTTTTTCCATCTGAGATAGTCTTTTCTTAACCAACTTGTTGCATTGTATATATTGACTATATCCGATTATCTTTTTAAATTTCCCAGTATAACAAACTTGATTGCTATTTGGACTTTATTTCTAGGTGTTATATAAAAACCTAAAAATTGTATTGCTAATTTTCAATGTAAAGTCTTAACTTAGAAAGGCTATTGTTTGGCCACCGGTCTTTTTTATAATGTAGGTATGTATTTCAACTATCTGTATCATGACTTTTTTCCCATAAATATTCCCTAAAAATCTCAAATTTTCTCTTTCTTTCTTTTAATTTATTCCTTCCTTCCTTCCTTCCTTCCTTCCTTCCTTCCTTCCTTCCTTTCTTTCTTTCTTTCTTTCTTTCTTTCTTTCTTTCTTTCTTTCTTTCTTTCTTCTCTTCCCCATGTGCTCAGTATTGTATTCCACACCCAGGCAAATCTGAGATTCTTGCAGCCAGTAGCACTACGAAAGTAACATTTCTCATGGCACTATCCCAACTGGGAGAGGAACCTTTAGACAAGCTGTATGGTGGTGGACATAGGGGTCCAGCCAAGTGTAACTCTAAGAGAGGCCAGCGTTTCCACAGACTTGATTGGCAGCTAGAGGCTTTGCTTACTGCTTTACTTAAATATGTACTATTTTGTTTTGGAAGGCTACGAGACACTGTTCATCCCCAGCTTCTCCCATGGCTATTTCCAAAGAAATAAAATTGCTCTTCAGCCTTGTAGGCTGGCACTAGTAGGAAGGGAGTGTAGTCATCTTCTCATTCATACCTCCTGCTTCCCATCTCTGCTTTGGAATTCTCATTACACTTAGTTTTCCTTCTATTTATTTAATTGAGTTCAAACATTTTTTTTTCTTTATAACCAAGATCTTCAAGCTGGCTCCTCCAATGTGGTGGGGCCCCCAAGCCTAATCCTGGCCAATAGTAATTTCAAAAGCAAGGTTCTTCTGGATTAGGTTCCTATTTCTCCCTTATTTTTTATACCTCAGTTTTGTCAACCTACCACACAAGTTAAAAAGAACTAAATGTTTTTTTGTTTGTTTGTTTGTTTTGGTTTTTCAAGACAGGGTTTCTCTATGGTTTTGGAGCCTGTCCTGGAACTAGCTCTTGTAGACCAGGCTGGTCTCGAACTCACAGAGATCCACCTGCCTCTGCTTCCCGAGTGCTGGGATTAAAGGCGTGCGCCACCATCACCAGGCTAAGAACTAAATGTTTTATGTGGAGACCTGAGCAGAGAGGCTACAGTTATTGAAGCCATCTTGAATTGTTTCATGTGGAAAGAATGCTTTTACATGTGTAGCACTTGCATATAGATTCTTCTTTTGGGGGTCCAGAGTTGTATCAATCTGCACACATTCTTAACACATGTATGTAGTCAGTAAACCTGTGATGTTCCATGACACCCTGTTTATGTTCATAGATTTGTAAGAACATAGCTACAAGCCTGTTCAAAGCTGGACTGACCTGCTAGCAGCATTTGCTGGTGAAATGGGGGAAAGATTGCCACCAGGGAGACATTTGCAAGTACTAATTCTGTTGCCTCTCATGGTAGTTCGAAGAATTACACCATTTAATTCAGTGACTTCTGGCAAAGGGATTCTTCTCTCACAGTCCATGGAATAAGTATCTAAAGGGAGTGAAAACTAATTCTTGCCAGTGTCTCAAGGTACCAGACTTTAAAATTCCCTGTTTATTGCTCAGGGTTTCTTTTCCTTTTTATTACCCAGAAAAGGATGGGGTGAATGAGTCAGTTCCATAAATGCCAAGTAAAATGTGATAATTTACCTAAGAGGGTACTAGTTTGAGGCTAGCCAGCAAATA